ATATGATATTTGTCAGGCAAAATTGCCACCAGCCATTCAATGCTATAATTGTGTAACACTGAGTTTTATTCCAAATGCCAAGCATTAAGTGATGCTCCTGCATGATGTCACACAGCTTCACTTCCTTCTGGAGGAAATCTAGATCAAATTCAGCGGCACCTGCTGAGCACAGGGTGACCTCCACCAGTCTCTAGAAAGACACTCAAATATTTGCAGTTTGACTGTGGCACTGCAGCATCGAGATGAGCTTCTACATGGAAGATGTAGCTTGGAACCAGAAATGTAGCCTGGCAGCAACGGGGGACTGCAATCCTTAATTTTGGTGTAGGCAGATCAGACAGCTCCAGCTCTCTGCAGGGAATTGCCCTGGAGAGTTCTAGCCAGGCTCAAAGGCTGCACCTTCACCCACTGCAGTTACACAACCACATGCTGATGAACTTAATCCTTCTAGGGTTAAATTCTGTAAAAGACTAACTCGCTTGGGGGTTTAAGCCTTGTTTTCAAAGATAACTTGCAACCAGATTTACAGAAATGCTACAGCAATTTAAAATGTCTGCTGGGGTTTATGAAAATGCCCAAGCAGACTGAGGTGCCAAATGTTTTTAAATGTTACTCGTGACCTACGCTGGTCTTGGGTCCCAGGGTTGGCAGGATCATGCAAGGGAAATTTGAATTTTCTCTTTGTTTCTATTCTTGTTTCTTCCACTGATTACTACTTTCGCTTCTGGGATGTGTATATAATATTCTCTTTAAAGTGTGACAGCCTGTGATCTGAACCCAAGGTGCATCTTTGGGTGCTCATATTTTAGGGAGGCAGGCTCTGATTTGGAAGACCTGTGCAGTATTCACTGTGGGAATATTATGTTGTATGCCAATGACAATAAACGCTGGCTGGCATGTTTCAGCCTCAAAGCTCTCATGAACCATTGCAGGGAGCTTGGCTGCTCATCCATTTACCATGCAGTTTGTTAAGTGGGCAGCCTGACAGTGGCAGTACCACAGCTTCATTTTCTCCTAACAGCTTTAGACAGCATTTCTTAAATCAAGACAAAGGCTTTGAAGTCAGTGAGTGGAGAAGGCAGCCCTGGCTTTGTTACAGCAATCAGAGACACAAGTTGAAAGCATGTATGCTAATTGCCAAGACTGCTGCCATATAATTAGCATATACAGTCTGTACCCAAATTAAGAACTCCCTTGAAAGCTTATTATGCCCTAATATACCTCCAGTATGGCTATACCTATAGCTGTGCTCTGCCCCACCTTTGCATTTCTCAGCAGCTGTGTGAGGATCAACACTAATCTATGTGAACAAGGTGTGTGCAGAAACCTGTCCATGTGTTAGAGCCTGAGCAATGCATGGCAGGAGTCCAGGCTGATGTATCTGTCCATCCAGAGCCCTGCTAGGAGGGGAGGTGCTGCTCCATGCAGCCACCCTGACCTCCCAGTGCCTCTCTCTGGGTCCTCACCTGCAGCCTCCAATGCTCCAAAGCTCCAGGTATGTGGCCAAATCTTACATTTTAATCATGGTTGTCATGTCTTTTGTGCTAACAACAGCCTACCCCAAGGACATGGGTTTATCCAACCTGCTTGGCTCTGCAGAACAATCCTGAGCCTCCCGCCTCTTGTCTGCAACTGCAGCTCAGCCATGGGGAAAGGATAATTCAAGTGGTCAGCAGCGCAGCTTGGATTTTATCACACTTTATTTTAAAGATATAATTGCAAGTATGGCAGCTGAACCCTCAGAGTGTCTTGGGACTGTGGGAGCAGCAAAAGATAGATTGGCACTATCCACAGCTGCCTCCCATTCCTCACTTTTGTGTGCCTAGGGTCACCACAACCTTGAAAACCTCTTATTTATATTCTTTTTCTGTAACCCCTTTTCTTTGTACTTTTCAACAATACCCACTATAAATTGGGGTTTGCATAATAAAAATCTGTGCTTCGTGCAAGTAAATGTTAAAACAAGGTGGTGCCATGCTAACTGCACTTCTGTGACTGTGACAGGGCAAACCAAAGATACACTGGTCAAAACCAAACCCTCACGGACACAGCCACTGAGAGGAGGCACAATAGGAGGTGTGAGAGGCATTCAGCCCTCATGCTTGGGACCTCAATGCCAGCTGCAGACCAGCAGAATGGATGGCAGCCCACAGCCCCACCTGACATAAACAAATGCAATATCCTGCAGATGAATGGCTTTGCTCCTCTGTCAGAACTCAGATCTGCTAATCCAGACATACTCCTAGTATCACCAGCTTTTACAAACAGGAGATACCTGTCCAAGATCTCATGTGTTGGGTGGTTTGGCCATTTCCTAATTAAGCTGCTGCTGAGATGCTGTGAGGTGTTAGAGGAAGCTGCAACAACTGGAAAATGATCTTTAATAATTAGTGGACAAGAACGAGGAGGAAAAGTCCTTACAGGGACAAGCAAGTACATACATGGCAGAATTTGCCCCTGGAGGCTACTGAGGCCACAGCCCTGCCTTGCACAGGAGCCTCCCCCTTTGCTGAAACAATCCCCTCCTACACAGGTTCACACAGAGCAAAAGGAGCTATTTTCATAAACGACACCTCAGCCCCCAAACTCTCCAGTCAGCTGCAATAAGAGATTCTTGGCATCATGATGATCTTTCTGCAAGCCTCTTAATTCTGAAGTATTCTTTCCAGACTCCCCAACATATCAGGTGCTAAGCTGTATGTCATCATCTCTTCTGGTGCACAGGGATTTGGAGATTTGACTTTCCTTCTTTTTCATACCTGCGTTCCAACTTTTGTGTTTTTCACATTGGTCATGTTGCATTTAGTAAAGTATATAGTCTGCTTCTTCAGGTGAATATTGAATTCCTGCACAAAATTCCACAGACACACCAATGCAGCCTATTTTATTTCTCATGCAACTGTGTTCATTTCTTCTGAGAACCCTACACCTTGTTCTTTCACTCACAATGTCTTTGTGCCTTGTTACTGCAAAACAAGCCTTAGATTAATACTTTTTTAACATCTTCATATGTACTGCAAACACCTGCCCCATTCCCTAGTCTCAGATAATACACTGTGGATGATCTTCCTATCTCTCTTTACCCTCCTGTAATTCCAGTGACTTTACACAGCTCTGCTCCTGTTTCACTCAGGAGGAGTGAAGGGAGCCCAGTGGAATAAGGCCAGTCGAGAACATGTCATTCCCTGAAGGATAGGCCAATAAATCCTTGATATTATCTGCTACAGCAGCTTATTACTATTCAAAAAGAGAGAAGCATCCTTCACTCCAAATACTTTAGGAGAACTAGAAGTAGGAATAAAGGGAATTTATGTGAAGGGGACATAAAATGAATACAGAAGAGCCTCCAAACCTGCACTTTGCAAACCTGCATCCTTTACAATCCTCCTAAAAGCTGTTGCTTTTCCACATCTCCACTAAGTCTTAATGGAAGAAGCAATATTGGAAGATCTCTCTGTCAGGATTCATTATTTTTACACCACATGCTACAGTCCTAATGCTTTATAAAGCCACTACATGAACAATAAAAATCCAACTATTATTAATCAAATTGGTTTTTAAATCCAGGCATTTTCATCATCCTGGGAGCGGGAGGCTGGATGGAGAGGAGGCAGGGACAGCAGCTTGGTATCCAAAAGCATTGAGTTCAAGCTTACTTTTTAGCCATAGACTTTCTGGAAAAATCATTTTTCCCCAAATTTTACTTCCTCTATTGTAAAATGTTACAGGACAACTATGCGAAGTCCTTAGACACCAGGATAATTGTAGGAGCAGACGGAGGGCTATTTATGCTTTCAAATGACATACTTAGTCTATAATTTTCATCTTTTTTTATAGTATTTTATATGCTGAGTAATTCAGCAAATGCCTTTGACTCTCGGTTAGGTTGCCCAGGTGTCACTATGGTTTTTGGCTGTACCAAACTGCTATAGAATTGGTATAAAATACAACTACCACACGTAGGTATTAAAAAGGCAGTGCTTTAGCAGAGAAACCTGATAATGGGGATGTGCTGCTTTGTAGGGGTTTGGTTTCCAGGATGACCAAGCACAGCCTGGATGAACATAAACAGTGAAGGGCTGGGGTGAGATTTAACATTAAACTGCACTTACAAGTTTTTGTGACTCTATCTACTATCAGTGAGAACACATAAAGCCTCCAGCATTTCACTGTTAGCACGGAAGTCCCCTAAGCACAGAGGCAGCTCTCATCCCAAATGGTAAATCAGGATAATTCCACCAGTTTCAGTGTTCTCTGTAAGGGCCCAGTGCCTAGAATAAGAGAGGACAGGGGAGTGCAGGGATTCACAGCTGCTTTTACACCCAGATCTGTGCCCCAACAGCAGTCACACCCCAAATGCCTTTGCTGTGCTCCCAGGGCACTGCCCTTGAGGTCAACAGCTCACTGCACCAACAGCAGGGCTGCAGCACCACAGAAGGGCTGAGCTTTGCTCTTACCTGAGTTGAACTCAAAAAACCCAGATTTTCTCTGCTTCCAAGGCTCCACTCAGAATGTCCTTTCAGTTTGGAGTCATTTATGCTGCACAAGTATATGCTCTTCTGGAGCCCTCAAGTAATGAAAGGGGGGAAGAGCACACTGGTAAAAAAACGTGCAAATGTAAGTACCAGGCTCGGCTTGTCCCCAGCTTCTCACAAAGTTGAAAGTGGTTCAGCCTGGGGCTGCTGCAGAGCTTGTGCTGTCCACCAAGGGGAAAGCACAGACAGAAACAGAGCCCTTTGTGTCCCTCCTGCCTCCCACCCTGCCACATGCTGAGCACTCCCAAACCCTCCCCAAGCCAGGACAGCTCTGAGCTGGCTTTCAGTAACAGCTGGAAGTACACTGACCCTCCTCCAGAGTAACAAACCCTACCTTGAATTATACTCCTTTATCAGTGTGTGAAAACATGTTCATGTAGTTGCACTCAGAGCTGGGCTAACTCAGTAATTCCCAGTTCAGCTATGAGCAGCAGCAACACCAAACATCAGGGCTGTGTAATAATGTAAGAGCAATATGGTTTATTATATAATGAAGAAGAAAAAAAAAATCATTTTCATCAAGTATTCCCTTATGGGGGTCAGTACAATACAAAGGAAATAAGGAAAAATGTACAAAACAACCTGACAAGAAGGCTCTAGATGAAACATGTTCAAAGCACTTGCAAATGGTGTTGCTGGACAGATGCAGAAGAAAATGAAATAAAGTAATTTTTTCTCCTGCAAAATACATACTGAAAAACTGATTTTATTTTCAAAAATTCAATTCTGTCTTTACCTGCAGATATGTCAGGTAAGCTGATACAATTTTAGCTGTGATACATTTTTTAAAGAGAGATACCCAGAACTGTTTGACCACATTTATTTCAAAGTGGATTTTATTTTCCCTTCCAACTTGAAATGCAGGTGGTAAGCCCAGCTCAAAATAAAAGAAGCTTAGCCACTAACTTCAAACAAACCAGGTCCATATTTCTCCATTTTCTGTTATCCTTTGGCAACCATGGCATTTGTTTTTCCATAATCAGCAACAGATCTCCATTTCATCCAGAGCATCCTCGTATATGTGGTTGCAAAATTTAAAAAAAAAAATCACAAAACAAAAAACACATATAAAACATCAGCAGTGAGAAATTCCTGAAGGTTTTCAAGTCTTGCTCCTAACCCAACTAAAGTCAAGGTATTTCAAACTATTTTAGCTGGAGCAAGACCAAATCCTTACAGATCCAGATAAACGGTCCTCAAAAAGCAAAACCATAAGAGTGTTGTAATCCAAACGGAGGAGTAAAAGACAAACTGAACAATGTACCTTGCCTGGCCCCAGCCAACAAAATATCTTTGCCTTGGGTATTTCATTTACTCCTGACCCAGGCAAGATTCCCATTGTTTACAGTGAGAGCATCACTCAAGTAATGCAGCAAAGGGACATCAAGCATTAGTAAGCTAAAATATGAATCCATGCTTATGGCAATAGCTTTCCCTTCTAATGCCCTATAATAGGCATCTAGGAAAGGAAATAAGCAGCTTTACAGAAAAGAAATCTGCGTTTTGTTACACTGATGACCATCCTAAGCAACTCCACAGAAGTTTTCAGTGTTCCTTTCAATGTGCATGAAGAAAGCAAAAAGTCAAAACCAGACCAACATTAGGCAAGATTATAACAGATTTACTCATTAGTGCAGAATGCAAAAGAAAAGTTAATGCTTAATACAAACAAAATAGTATCGCTTTCATACTCCTCACAAAGTCATGGATTCCACATGGTTTACTTCCTTGCCTTAAAAGAAATGAATGTTTAAATGAAGCATGAACTTTGTGTCTCTAAAAATAACATCCCAAGTTAGCAAAAGAATCATTTGAGGAAAAATAAATTGGAAATTGACATTTAATAACAAGTTGCAAGGAAATCCCCATTTTGTTTAGCATGAAAAGAAACAAAGATCCATGGGCCAGATTTGGTTGGGAGGGTTTGGGGCGGGGTTTGCTATTTGGGTTTGGTTGGGTTTTTTGCATCAAGGGAAAGAAAACAATAGCTATGTGGGAGGATAAACATTTTCACAAATACAATAAATAATTGTTCTGATCCAAAAGCAAAGTGCGATGTAGAATTTCTCCACTTAAAAACAACCTACAGCATAATGCCTTAAATATTAACAAATCAATTAGTGGTCAGCACAGTAAAATAAATATGAACAGATTGATTTACATTTTGTTTCTAGCAGCAAAGGTCATTAACCTACTGGCCAATGTGACAGCTTCAGAGAAGTCCTGTTTCTTAGGTTTGGTACTTGGTTTAACATTAATTGGGTCTGGAAAATGGCACTTCAGCTGTACAGTGTTCTCCCCAGCCCACCTACGTCAAAAGGGTTTGCCCAGAATGTGTTTTCAGTATTTTTTGAACAGTGGTTTCGAGAACACCTTTCACAAAAAGAAATAAAATCAGGATCTACTCAATGTTGACAAGTATGAGTTTGGATTGTCCTGAACCCTAAGGATAATGGGGAGATTGGGTGTTTTCTCTTTGCAGTCAGCAACTTCCTATGCTGAAAGGGAGTGGGAAGATCACAAGCCATTAAGCAATGCTGAAGAGGGAGAGGAAAGCTTTGGTAGCTTGCAGGAAGGGCCACAACAGAGCACTGGGGCAAAGGGAGTCTCAGCTGCTTCTCCCAGCAAGACATCTTTCCTTCCATGGAGGAAATCTGTCCTACCTTGTCACTTGAGTCCCACTGCCTGCTGTGCACCTGCTCTACAAGCCACCACTCTGAAATTGCCAGGATGATCACATTCACTTGTACTCCCTTGAACAGAACAAAGCAGATTCAGGCTTCTCTGCTCAGAGATGACTGAAGCCACTACTCCAAACCAGACTCAGCCCTAAGCAGAGAGGAGCTTGCAAGAGCAGCTCCCTGCACATCCCTCACACACCCTCTCAAAAGCACCAGCACACAGCTGGAGCAAAGCAGGTTTTGACACCTCCAGCAGTCACTGGAAATGCCAAATGAGGAGCAGATGGCTGGGCTGGGAGTAGGAGCAGTAACCAAAGCTAAGTGGTGAACAGCTGATTTTTTGGGACATGTGAAAGCAAGCAAAAATGCCTCCTCATCTCTAGCAATAAGCCAGACAACAGCAGTACCTACAGCTCCTCCAGCTCATATTTCTTTTGTTTTTCTGCTACTAATTGCAGCCTGTAGGAAATACCACGCTTTAATTTACAGACAGAGGGATGTTTAACCAAAATGCAGGGATCACTGTGCTGAAGCACACTGTGGTAAGGTTCATCTAACTCCCTCTGTCCCTCTGGACAGTAGTGTCAGACTGGCAAACCTAAGGACAGGACACAAAGAGAAAACCAGAGCCCTTCTGTCAATACAATGAGGGGGAAAGGCTGATGAGGGATTCTGGAAAGGCAAATGTTCTTCTAAGGCTACACAGGGGGTGAGGCAGGGTGCAGGAAAGCACAGCAGAAACAGATTTACAAAGCTGTCAGAACTGTTCAGTGAGTGCTCTACAACCTGGGCACCTGTTCTACCTTCTCATGTGCTCCAGAGCACAAACCCCATTTAACTGAGTTTTGCACAAGGGAGGGGAAGGAATCCCATTCATGAGGACACCTATTCCTCTGTGTCTATCTGCAGGGCAAGGATCAGCACAGAATGATCTAGGGAGTTGTTTTCAACTACTTTGCAAGCACTCACCTTGCCTGGATTCAGGAAGGCTGCATTCAGCTTGTATGGCTCCCTGATGCTCACTCAGGGAGCTGAAGAAAACAATAATCAGTTTCTGAGGAGCAGCCAAGTGCAACAAACCTTTTGAAGGTGGACTGGGAAGATGAATAAAGACTACCTGGATTTCTTTTGATACTCATTCTTCATTTTTTAAGGCAAGCAGAAAGTCCTTCTGGAATGCAAGAGGCAGGATCAGAATGGCAATAAAAGGAGGCGGGGGAGCTACCTTCAACACTATGCACTAGGTACAATTCATCCCTGCTAAAATCCTACTGAAACTAACGGAGCTGCATCTAATTCCAGCTGCCTGAAGAGGGGTGAGAGATGAGCGAGTCATGGTGCTTCCTGGACCCTCTCTCTGCACCTGCCACTGAAGTCAGTGAAGCTACACCAGTGCACAGTTCCAGCAGCACAGTGGGGGATCAGGTCCAACAAAAGCCACCTACGTGCTGCACTTGCCACTGGAGACACTGTGAACTGGATTCCAATCACAGCTCCTCACATCTACCCAAACAAGCAGAAGAATAATTGACAGTCCTACTTCTGCTCTTCTTCCCCTTCCTACTTTTGCTAAGGAATATCAAAACAAACACACACACCTTTTGAATTTGTCTACTATTCAAAAGTTGCTTAACAAGTTTCTTGAATACTTCCATGAGGCCAAAAAGCTGTTACTCAAACAATCATCACCCTGACATTTAAATCCTACATAACTTTGGATTTTTGAGGTCCCTAGAACAGTCAAGTATACATCAAGGAATGGAATTAAAACCCATCCTGAGATGGAAAAAGAAAGAGAGAGGGAAAGTCAACCAATATTGGCAGCGCTAGTTCAAAGCAAGAAGTTTCATCTTCGCTAGGCTTTGCCCAGGGAATGGCATGGAAATGGGACACATCAATTTCTGTTACCCAGAGTCCAGGCAGCCTTGCTCTTCCAGAGCAAGGACTGTAGGCTAGAGACCAACTCTTGCTCTCCTCTACATCAACATGCAAAGAAAGCACAGCTGACAGCTCCTTCCATCTATTCTCAACCTCAGTCTAAGGCAGAATCAGAGCACAGCACATCACACCTGAGCAGGTTTGCTTTCCAGTTCACTTCACTAAGCCACTGAGATCCCCAGAGATTCTCTTCAGGGAGATGAGCTACACCCATGGTATATTAAGGTGTCCAGGCAACAATATCAAGAGTAGAAGAGTATTTCTGAATGGGGCTAATCAGCTGAAATCCATAAAGGAGTCTGCATCACAGAGGAAGAGATCCTCCAAGGAGAAGAGGTATGCACAGCCTTTCTACAAGGATGTGGAAAGAACCTACTCTGGACTGTAATGAGGGCCAGAAGCAGCAAAGTGTGGACAAATACACCACCTAATTCACACATTCACAGGCCCTACTCCTTCCCCTCTTACAAGCTGTCCAGAGATTCAGTCTGCTGTAGGGAAGCATTCTGGAGCACTGCTCTGTGGTGTGCCAAGAGGGGAGTGGGCTTTGCACAAGGTCCACCCATGTGGTAGGACCACAGAAGTTTCCAGCACTTCTTGGGCTTTGCATATTCATGCAGAAGGCTGGGGAGAAGACACAGTTCCTCCCCACCACTCAACACAATGAAGAGCCTTAGATAATTAGCAAACAAACACCAAAAACACTTCATGTCCTGCACAGCGTCATCCTGCCGACTATGATAGAAAGAAAACCTAACCATACCAGTAAGTTTGCAGGTGTTACATGTACAGCTCGAGAGCACACTCCTACCCAATGGAGCACAAAGCAGGGCATGTGGCAAACAGCAGGCGAGAGACAAGCTGCTCTAGTTGCAAACTACTGCCGAGGGCGGCGCGTCATTGGACGTAGCCCAGGTTCTCCATCTCGCTCCTGTAGCGCTGCTCGGACACTTTGCTCTTGTGCTGTTTGCTCTCCAGGTGCTGCCGGAACTCCAGCTCCTCGCTGGCGCCCGCGTTGCACATGGAGCAGTAGAACTGCCCGCTGGGCGTCACGCACATGGCCAGGTCCCGGGGGATCCTCTGGCGCGAGCGGGGGTTGAAGTAGGGACCTGGGGAGCCAACAGAAAAGCTGGGTTTACCTGTAAGAAATCAAAGCTTGAGCAGCTCACTGACAATGCCTAAGTCCAACGAATGACTGAAAAGCAGACAAAGATTTGCTTCTTTAACAGATTAGGGTCAAGGCTTATTTTCCCCACAACTGCTCTGCTGATTTCCAGGTTGACAGAGGTGTAGCACACAGGACAGCACTTGGTATTTTATAAAAATGTCCCATTCTTATTGAAAATCAGCAATCTAAAAATTTAATTAATTAATCAATTCTTTTTTTTTTTTTTCTTTTAACCATCTAATTGTAGAACTGGAACAGTCTTTTGATTATAAACTTCCTCAGTTTAAAACTCACAAAGTTATATTTAATAGAACTTTAAAAGATTTATCTTTTCCACATGACAGTGATTAGAATGACATGATTAAAACCAAGCTTTACAAGGATTCAGAGTTTCAGCTAATGTGTGCTTGTAAAACAACCTATAATGAAAAAGAGAAATAGATGCCTGGCTGGAGACTGTAATACACTCTTTAAATCATAGTAAGGAGGCAAAGTTAGTATCTAACACCTGAGGAAGGACTCTACTCTAGGAACAGATGGTCTTAGAGGGAGGCTAACATGCTCTCTCATTCTGGTCATGGGAGTGCAAGTACAGGTTGATGTGCCACAGTAGGAGTCAAAGCACCTGGCCACCTGCCAAGAAAATAAAGCAGGAAAACTGTCACCACTTAGAGCAGCCTTAGAGACAGGCAGATGGTAAATTAAGTTACAAACTGAGAAAAAGAACTAACAAGCAGGCTGACAAAACAAAGCAACTTTAGCAGCTGGGAAAAAAAAAAACCATGCAGATATGAAGGATCAGCAGAGCTTGGACCAGCTCCTTTCACAACCTGACTCTGCTAAAACAGACCTCAGAAACAGAAGAAGAACAAGTCTATTTATTATTAATTACTATTCCAACTACAGAATAGATGCAAGCTCCAAGTTACCTGTGTTGTTCTGAACCGCATACGTGTTTCTTCTGTTCTGCATCATCTTATATTCATTCCCTTCTTTCCTTGCCCTTCGTTTGCCTAGTTCTGAGGCATCCCTGCAGATTAAACAAATATGAACAGCTGCAATTCAGAGTTTTCTGACAAAAGAACTGTCAGAGGCACTGCCACACGCTTTCAGCCTGAGCATGAGGTTGAACAATACCTACGAGAATGAGTTATTCTGTGCCTCTGCAAGACGCAGCCGCTTGGCGTGATTTTTCCCTTGGTAGTGAGCCTGTGCCACAGCCGGAGAACTAAATGAGGCATCACAAAGCTTGCAGTAATCATTCTCTGTAGCCAAGATCACTCGGCCACCTGGTTTGCTGGATCCCATCTAGCAGCAAAGGGAGAGACAGCATGTGAAACAGAAGAAGGTTAAAAAATGCTGAAATATTTCAATCGCAGAGACTGAGAGCACTGCCGTCCTCATCAGACAGCAGGAGAGCTGGAATTAAAGCCCATGGATTAGGACACTCTCAAGTTGTCCCCAAAGTGTTCTTACAAGAAATTCATTGTTCCTGCATCGCCTCCAGGAGAGCCTGCAAATTCCTGGCCTGAGGTGGAGAGAAAAGCAATCTGAACAAACAGCTCTGCAACAGCCACAGAGGCTTGTTTACATCACAGCAATCATTTAACTCCTAACTGCTGGGAGCTGGTGAGCAGTGACTTTCACTCTGAGCAACACTCACTGAAAGGCAGAGGTGCTTCTCTCTCCTATTCACAGTGCACTTAATCTCTCCACAGCACTCTGTCTTTGCACAGTTCTGTGACCACAGCAAGAGGAAAAAAAAAAACAGTAGCAAAGCTGCCAAACCTGTGATCCTTAACCTTCAGGTGGGAGAACACCTGGATCCAGACTTCAAAGGAAGGATCCAGTCTCACATGAGTAGCTCCTGCTATATGAAGGACACCTTCATGTGTCTGCGGAGTCAGACCACATCCAGTGACCCAGGCAGGAACCATGCCTCCTCAGCACATAACATCCAGGGAAAAGTGTTTTGTAAACAGTGCAGCAGCAGTGATTCATGCAGCCATGTCACTGCAGCACTTGTGAAGCCAACATTCTTTCACGTCTCCTTTGATTCTTTTCAAACTTAAGAGACACACAGTTCTGACTTGTAGCTTACAACGTGAACCCTCACATGGCCCCAGAGGAATGTTACTGCCATGGGCCATTTATTTCCTCCATTAAAAAACACACCACCAGATATCCTGGCAGGTACAACAGCCACATCCCCGTGCCCCAGGCGGGACCCCACCCCATCCCAGTTCACATCTGTGAGCTGCAGTGCCAATTTACACGGGGCCAAATCTCCCTCTGGCCAGGAACAGTCTGCCACTCTGCAAATGCTTCTGCTTCCCTACAGGCAACACAGCCTTATGCTGTGGGGACTGACAGGCAGAGCTTCAATCCCCGTGACCCTGCACAGTCACAGGCAAAAGCCAGGTTAGCTGTCACATCTCATGACAAACCCAAGGGATGAATTCTAGAAGGAGATAACAAAAACCATCTCTTTTTTCCTCTAATGTGCCCAAAACAGAATTAATCTGGATCACTGAGGGAACAATCCATTCACTCTGCACACAGGAATGAGCACTTCAAATGGAGCAACAAAAGAGGAATTAGCTAACAGCCCTGGGCAATGGGTGTAGGAGCACCAAAACACTTTTTCCCTCACTCAACAGAGGGATGATTATGCAGAGAGGATGCCACGCCCTCACATCCAAATCCAATTCCAGCAATGCTGTTTTATACCTGCCCTTACACAGCTGTCATCAGGAGCACACTGGACTTACCTAGGAATCAAAATATTTGCCAGGCAGAAATAGAACATTTGAAGTCAAGCATTGTGCTGCAAGTGCAGATCAATATCTGCATCTTCAAAGGAAAGCAAACAGCTCACAACAGGCCATTTCCACCATCCTGTGCCACCACAAGGAAAATTCTTTCCCAACTCCTGTGGTAATCCTCAAAACCTGAGATCTGGTTGTCCTTACTGGGGTTAGGTGACAAGCAAGATGATCTCAGTCCCCTTCCCATGCCTTACCTGAGTTGGAAGGGAGACAACCTGAGGCGGGGCAGGCTCAACAGAATTACTCATCCTGGCAGGTGCAGGACAGCTGTTGGCAGCATAGTAATTCCGGAGTTTCTTACTGTGGTTTTTACCCTGCAAAGATAACCCAGATTAATCACTGTCCTAACAATAGTATCTTACTCTGAAAGACAAGGGATCCAGAGACTGAAATGAGAAAGTGTCCATGAAGGTGGCAGCTCAGGTAAAGGAGCTGTCACCCAGCTCTGAACTTAAGAGATGCAGGCATTCGTCCCTTTCTCCAAAATGCTCAACACCCAGAATGACTGGGCCCCCCATCTTCAGCTGATTTTCTCAATAAGTTTACAATTAGTTTTCCAGTCTGTTTCCATTTCACTTAAAACCAGTATTTTGTGTTTTAAGACTATCAACTGCTTTGCACAGTTTTTTGATATGCCTAAACACACAACACAGATTTCCTAAGACTGCAAACTTGAGTTAAAACATGAGATTGAACTTAAAACCCACTTCATATTTTATTTTCTCTTGAAAAAAATATACCATATATGTTTTTGGTGTTCTGAAAATCTGATAGAATAACACGAGACTATGCATATGCACATTGTGGATGCATAGTAAGGTAAATGCAAGTTATGTAAAAATTCACTTCCATCCCCTCATGGCAGAAATCCTGCAGAAATAAGATGTTAAAAGTGCCACACCAAACCAACCTACCCCTTCACTAGCAGGATACCACTTTTTCAGGGCCAACAGCAAATCTGAAATCTGGCTCTGGTGTCCTGAGGTTATGGACAACCACCCTTTTGCATTCACTGGTGGAAAAAGTCACTATCTCCAATGCTCATGCAAATACAGCGCTAGGTAGAGAGGCTGTAGGAAAATGGGATAATACAAGGCTGGCATGTTCTATCTTTCAGCAAGAAGCATATGCAAAGAGTCCTTACCCTATTTCAGAAAGCTCAACAAGATCAACTCAAACAAAATAAATTTGATCTAAGCCAATCCAGCTGATGAGAGTTTGCATAAAAGGCCCCACCAGATCAGTGCTGTGCATAGTCTCAGAAAGGAGACCCTGATGAACACATGGCAGCAGCCCCTTTCATAATAACACACCTGGATCCAGCAGAAAACACCTGACCAGGCCTCATAAAATAATGTCTGGAATCAGAAGGTCAATTTTACTAAACTAGTGTAGATGTCAAATACAGGTTGCATAAAGCAAAGGAAAAATCACAAGTGCCTGCCTTTTCACCCATGCCATCTTGGCACCACTTCTCTGTCCCTATGGACAGTGTTTTTGCAAAAAGCTCCAGTAACAACACCTTAAAAGAAAGCACTGCAGCATGTCTGGACAACCAGCAAATCCAAGCAAGGTGAAGACATGTCTACAGAGCAGTTTCAGTCCATGAGGTGGTGCAGAGGAAGCTCCAGATGAGCAACTTGAATGCTGCTGCTGGTGTGCAGCACTCAAAACCCCCTCGAGAAGCTGAGTTAGTCCTCCTGCATTAGCCCACACTTCCCTCTGTGCTACCACAGCAACGCTGCTGGCAGTGCTCGTGCTGGCACAGGAATGTCTCCACAAGCTGCAGATGCAGCAGCCCCAAAAGCTGAGCCTCCTGCTGCTCTTCTTACCTGGTAATGAGCCTGGGCTTGCTGGGCCGAATTCAGAGTGACATTGCAAAGCTTACAGCACAGGGGCTTACATAGTTCCTCCAGCATAGGGTCCTGCTCCACCACCTTGGCAAGCTCCTCTTCTTGTGTGTGATGAAAGGAAGGCCCCAGTCCGAGAGACTTTGATGGGGACAGTGGTGAGCTGGCTCTTGGCCTTGTAGCCACTGACATAGGAAGGGATGAAGGCTTCTCAGGATGAGGAAGAAGTTCTGCTTGCTGTAGAAGAATCATTGGCCAAGAAGACTATGGGCATGCTAATGCTGAAGGAGGAGGAGTCTTCTTCAGATCTAGACCAGAAAGACACAAATGCTGAAATAAGCAACAAGAACAGGAACATCAAGGATCCAGGGGCAAACCCTGTAACTCCACTGCCTCTACTTCATGCCTTTTCAAAATGCCAAGCAGGATAGAGTCAGTTTGCAACACTTTACCGCCCACGGGAACAGCAGCATCCCAGACAACCAGGGCCACATTACAAGATAGTTATATAAGGAGTGGGTCCCCTGGCACCCTCCTGGCAGGTGAAGATTCCTGACACCCACAGCACCTGACAGCAGCACTCTGTCCCCAGTGTTCCATGCCCACAAGAAGTGGGCACATACACCATGCACAGCACACAGAGCTGTGTCACTAGGGGGATACATCCACCTTCCACATCCTCCTTTGGAAGCCCAAGGACAAGATCACTCTCCAAGACCTAAACAAATATTACAGCAGACTACTGCAACGAACGTTTACTAAGAATCCAAATAGTTCAAAGCAGATGTATTGTATATAGGTAGATGCAAAATACATAAACACATCATTCCCTCAAATACTCACAAAGACTTTCCTGAGGAAAAGCTTTCCTCCAGTAAGACAACAAAAGAGAAAGAGTGGGAATGAGCTGGAGCACACCTTGTTGTACAGTCAGCTCCCAAGGGCTCTCCCCCATGGTCTTCTTGAACGACCTTGAGCTATTTTTCACATTCCATTACTAACTACAAGCAATGCAACATTTAGAGCTACATCTTCTTCTGCAAAATGGAGAACTTATCTCATATTAACCTTTATTCAATTATTTCTCAGTTAATTCAAGTTATTAGAACTAGCTCCACATTTCCAACAAGAGGTTGTGAGAGATTTATTTAATTAAAGTTTATAAATCACATCTACAGCCCAGATGAACATCCCTAGAATAATATAGAGCAGTGACATTATGAATTAAGGCATAGCTACTTTTGTTCATGTCTTATTAGCTTCTTATCATAACAAATCCTGTTCAGTGCCACACTGGGATCAAGAGAAGCATTATCTTGGCCTTTGCAGATCATTCCCAGCTAGGGCTCCACTGGCACCAACCATGTTTATGCTCTGGGCTTTGTTCATTTGTTTAAGCAAATAAAGAGACACGTCTGCATTTTAAAGCAACACTTGTGGAAAATTAGGGAAAATTACATGAAATGCCACTAAGGAATTTTGTTCCTGAGTCCCTTTTGAAAATAGGGACTTCAAAGGCATTTAGGAACCTGAAGAAGCAGATAGCATTTATCTGAGATAACTTCCGGGATTTTCAACCTGCTAAAATTAGCTGAAGATAAATACCTTCCACACTCAAGCTATGGAAAATCCCAGTTGAAGCCTGCAATTTTAGGTACTGTATTATCTTTGGATCTCTCTTCCCAGAGAGATTTATGTTCAGCTAGGAAAAATAAAACATAATTTAAATGAATGAATGGGACTAAAGCATTCAAGCGACAAAACCATTTCTGAAATGTTTCTCTCAAACCAAAATTTACTCTAATACAAGACTGGAGGCAATTCACTAATTACTAATATTAAAAGTAAAGAAAAAAATTAAAATTATTAAAAAAGAAAAAAGACAGTATGCACTGGCTTGGGGACAATGTTTTAAAGCAGTAACAGAGACACCATGAGTTTTCATGTTTATATTATTCCTCCACCACCAAGGATCTGCAAAATTTCAAAGCTAGAATCCACCACAAAGAAGGAAGAGGATACACAAGAATGGTGCTGCAAATCAGCCATCAGCAGTGTAAATACTTTAGTGTTACCTAACCCCATTCCTATTTTCAGACACATGACCCTGGTTAAACAGAACAGAAGACAACTTTTTTATCTTTATTTTCCTCAACTGGTACTCTGTAGACAGCCTAATTATTTTCTGTGGGACTACAGATGGAACGAGTTCATGTTGGTTAAATACATCATAACACAGGCCTATCAAGGCAGTTTAAATCAACTATGCAAGCAGGTACACATGCCAGCTAATTTCAGAGTTTTATTGCACGAGTATAATGGGCCCCTTACCTTAAAATTAGGGTAAATTATAGCCAAATACTTTGTAGAGCAACATAAAGAGACGCACAGTAAATGGCAATTGAGATTCATCTGCTTAATTTTGCATGAGCATTTGTTGCATTGCATTTTCTTACAACTGTCACAAATGGGATTTGTCATATACAGGAGGGAACAGTGCTTACAGGGGAAAAGGTATAATGTAAGATTCTTAGTAAATCTTTAACTGTAAGGTCATTTACTGTTTCTTAAAGTAAGCAGTTGTCTGAAGATAAAATTAAGGTTGTATGAGCAATTTCCATAATAAGACTTCTTGATTTGGCTTATGCAATGTATGTAATTCTGGTTTTCCTCTGACAGTGATCTTTAACCACTGAAATTGCTCAAGTTATGTTCATTTCTTTCTCACTGGTATTATTTATAATAATAATAAAAAAATCAGCTTATTTCCAGGTTCCTTTAATCCTCCACTGCTGGTTGTTACAGCTACCCTGCCCAGGAGAAGGAAAAAGAATATTTCTAACTCCTCCTTTCCCTTCACATGAGAAGCTGTAAAATCTTTACCCTAGGACACAACAAAGGCACCTCCATCACCAGGGACCCCAACCAGCGGAGCCCAAGGCAGGGTAGGGATGCAGCTCTCCAGGGTGAGCTGAAGGAGCCATTCTGCCCCAGGACAGCACCCCTCAGAGCTCAGCCATGCCAGGATACACTTCCACCCAATCCAGCTGTCCTTGAGTGGATGACAGGGGGACAGGTGCAGAGCCCTTCTCCCTCCTTTCACCGGGGCATCCCAAGGGCAGCGCTGAAGGAGGAGACCCAGGCTCCATGAGTGCCACAGCCTGGTAATGCCCACCTAAAGGGGAGCAACCTCCCCGGCTGGCACCAGCACAGAGCTGGGAAAGGAGCTGGTCCTGCCTCAAATCTAAGGATGGGGAAGGCATGGCCTGACTTTCCTTGGTGAAAAGAATAAACCACGGTGAGAAATCTATGTGTCCCACCACAATTGTTTTTTAAAGGCAGCTGAGGCAACTAACAACAAAGATGAAATCTGCAGAAATGGTGAACAAGCTGTGAGTTCCACTGCTCTATCTTCGAGACAGGAGGCATTTCTTCTCAAGTTCACTCGTCTATCAATACATGGACATCTCTTAATGTAATTGTGCCAGAAAGTTTCCTTTGGCCACGCACCGGGCCTACACCCTTCCCCACGAAAGGCAGGTTGTTTTGTAACGCTGCAGGGATTGAAGGCAGCACCAAACACACACGCACAGCATGCACAGCTCTACCTTAAGGTGCGCTGACCCTCCGCTGATGAGGATACACATTTAGCACCTCAGAACCATCCCTTACGTCAACGGGGCTATCACAAACCAGGGTGTAAATCCCGACTCCCCGCAGGCATTCCTGCAAAGCTGCTTGCCTCGCAGTCTGGGGGGCTGGAGAGCAATTTAAAAAATACATGCCCTGCTACCGTACCGCCTGGGCACCGCCGCAACCTCAGGGCACCGCCGCACCGTTCCGGGAAGGCACAGACCACAGCCGAGAGGCAGCGACGGGCATCCGCATCCCCCGGGCGGCTCGGAACGCGGCGGCAGAGGGAAGCGATCCCCCGGCACCACCCCGCAGACCCCCGCACACCCCGCACCTACCGCGGACAGGCAGGGCCGGGCCCGGTCGGGCGCTCTCAGCTGCGGGAAGTGACGGCGGCGGGGGCCGGACGGGGCCGGGCCCGCCGCGCCGCGCTGGGGCGGGGCCGCCGCTCCGCACAGCCCCGGGCACCGCGGGGAGAGCTCCTCCGGCAGCCGCGGCTAATGCTCTTCGCTCCTGACCCCTGGTTCTGCACAAATCCTTTTTCCTTTTTTTTTTCTTCTTTTTCTTTTTTTTTTTTTTTTACAGCAGACGTTACAATGAAGCTGATTTGCATATATAAACATCTTCTTATTCATGCTGCTCGTAGCCAAAATGAGTAATGCTTTCCCCTCGAGCCACCAAGGCCTCACCCGTGTGGTTGGGCCACCCCGTTTCAAAGCATATGGAGTTTCTGTTGATTTTTCTCCCCTTTTGTTGGAACAGGAAAGTGCTGAGAAGTCACTACAGGCTGAAACCATCGCCCAGATTTTACAGTAGCTGTCAGCCAAGCCATTTGGCAATTCATTGCTTTGACACAATGATTGTTACTAATTTTTGTTAGATCTTTTTAAAAAGTCCATTTAGCAGATTCATAGAATCATAGCAGAGTTTTTGGGTTGGAAGGCCCCTTAAAGACCATCTCATTCCAACGCCCTTGCCATGGGCAGGGACACCTTCCACTAGCCCAGGTTGCTCCAAGCCCTGTTGAACCCAGCCTTGAACAATTCCAGGGATGGGGCAGCAACAGCTTCTCTGGGCAACCTGTGGCAGAGCCTCATCACCCTCATGGTCAAGAATTTCTTCCTAATGTCTGATCTAAATCTGCCTCTGTCAGTTTAAAGCCATCCTCCCTTGTCCTATCACTACATGCTCTTGTCAAAAGTCCCTCTCTGGCTCTCTTGCAGGCTCCCTTTGGGAAGGATGCTGCAGGATGGAATCAGGAGCCGTGGTGATGTGGAGCCGAAGCAGCGAAGGGGCAGTTTGCCAGCAGGAATAATGCTCCCGGAGCCTGCTCTGCCCGGGGTTTGCTGGGTGTGTTCTGCCATGCCCTGCACGGCTCCCACCTACTGCAGAGCTGCCTGCAGCATCTCAGCCTGGCCACGGCTGTGAATATGGTGCCATGCTAGACCCTGGGGCTTGGAGAACTACTCCAAGTAAGAGAATTCACCAACTCCAAAACTTGCTTATGCCATCTCCGTTGTTGAAAGGATAAATATCCCTTGACAATAGAGTGATTTGCCAAAACGCCTTAACAATTAATAACCGTGTCCCTCCTCCCTATCATCACCTCAGTGCCACCCTCACTTGTTGCATCTTGTTGGCTCTCGCCAAGGTACCCCAGCACACACCCTGAAAACCCACGCCCACTTGGGAGTGCGTATTTACGATGCTATTTCTCTTCGACTTCTAATTTGTACGGGCTTTCGCTTGGCGGGCCAACAAAACACCGGACTCACGTACAGCGCCTTGATGCCAGTGGCAGCTGACTGTAAAGAAACCTGGTGGTCCAAAAGTGGGAAACGGGTCAAGACTGGGCCAGACGCGCTGCGATGTGCAGGGCACGGGGGTGTCACTGACATCAGGGCAGCAGCCGGGGCAGGACGATCCCCCAGCATGCAGCGATCCCCCGACCCCCTCCCCGCCACCACCGGCGCCGCGCCCGCCTCGCCCCGCCGCGGTTCCCGTTCCGGCGGGCGGTGCCTTCTCCATCCGGGGTCAGCCCCGCTCCCTTCCTGTTATTCCCGTGCGGGAGGCGGCGGCTGTCGGGGAGCGGCTGCCGGCGCCGCTGCCGCCCGCGCCCGGGGCACAGGCAGCGGCCGAGGCGAGCGGGGCGGCCGCAGCGGCGGAGGCGGCGGCGCGGCCCGGGGCGCGGCCGGCCCGGGGAGGCCGCGGCGGGCGGTGAGTGAGGCGGGCGCGGCGGGGTCGTGAGGGGCCGCTCCCGGAGCCGTGAGGGGCCGCTCCCGGAGCCCTGAGGGGCCGCTCCCGGAGCCGTGAGGGGCCGCTCCCGGAGCTCTGAGGGGCCGCTCCCGGGGCGCCGCTCGCTGAGGGGGTTCGGTGGCACCGAGGGGCCGTGGGGCAGAGCTCCCCCGCCGCATCCCGCGCTCGGGGCGCTCGCAGGGACGCGACCCGGCAGAGGAAGAATAGCGGCTTGTTGTTTTCCAGCGTGGGTGTCTCCAGCCCTGGAGTGGAGCTGTTTGCTGGGGATGGGGCTGGGTGATGCCGCTGGGAGCAGAGCCTCTCCCGATGGGTGTGTGTGGATCCTGCCGCTTCCAGATGCGCTCGGCTGACAGCAGCAGTGTCTCGTCCCTGCTCCGTGTAAAACCTTCTTTCCTAGTTTATGCTGCCCAGAGATCGGTTTGTACTGATGTTAAATATGGAACTGCTGTTTCTTGCCAGTATTTGTGTGTTTTCTGGTAGACTCTATATTAGCAAAACTTTGGCCACTAGCACAAACTGCTTGTTTGTTTTTCTTTGGGGCTTTCGTGGCTGTTTTCAATATTCCTTAAGTTATTAAGATATCAGGCCAATTACTTCTGTAGCTGTTATGGATATGTCTTTAATTTTTATAATTTTTGTGTATATTTCTTTTCTTTTTTTTGACTAAAGACCTGATTGAACTAAGGTTACTTTATAAGCAGGACCTATTCAGAACAAACAGGAGGCAAGTATATATACTTTAAAAGTAGACAGTAAAGAATATGTTGCTTTTCTTGATTTAATTCTGCAGCAAACTTATAAAGGAGTGGTAAATTGGGTTCTGAGTCTAGGTTTTGTAGAACTTAATAGAAGATAATCTATTTTGTTAGTTATTTGTACTTTCACATCCCTGCTTTGAGCTGTACCAAGTGTTCAAATTTATCACACTGGATAAAGTTAGAAACTTTCCCATCATGATCTGACTCGTTCTTTAGTTTCTTCCATCTCACAGTTAATTTATAGAGGCGTACTCATACTTGTTGCTTCCATGCTGCAATTCTATAATGCAGTGTAATAATCAAAGTCCACTTCTTGTGTGTAAACTTTGGTAGTTCCTCGGAATATTCCAGTATGCAGGGTGATGGGATTTAATAATGTGTCTGCTATGAGGAACTGTCTGGATAAACTGTTCCAAAATAAAGCCACTTGTGAACTTAAAGCTTCACAATAAATAACTTTATTCTCAAATAATAGCACTGGAAAACTTTTAGATTTGTTACTTATTTAGAAGCATGTTTTAGCCAATGTAGAGAAAGCACACATCAACCAGCTCAACACACATTAACAGTGTTCACAGAGGAATTTCTGCAGCCACACAATTCTTATGGAATCCATGGAATATTCCACTTTTCCATTAGGACAATGAATGCAGCAGGTCCAGAGCTGCAGCTGGAATTTGACTGGTGAGATGCCCTGCATTTCCTAGGTGTTAACTTGGTGCCGTTCTTAGCAGCCTGGAGACTGTGCTTAGTGTTTATTCAGGACAGGCGAATCCTAGCCTACAAATCCATCAAAGTGTTTTAATTGGCTGCTCCACATTGTCATTCTGTATCAGTGGCAAGTTTGTTTGTTGTTGCATTTACTGCATTTACATTTTTTTTCTTCTTTCTGGAGTATTCTTTGGGAAAGGGGGTGTAGCTGATTTGTTTACAAAGCAATTGTGCTTTATTGGAAGTCATAAAGTGGTTCAATACTTGGTTAACTGTTTCTCTGATAATCACGCTATTCCTGCTTTCTGTGAGCAAATGGGGGATACTTCTTCCTGGGTAACTCTTTTTTTAAAAGTTGTTCAAAGCTTTAGAATATGAATTTCTGCAACCAGCAAGGAGTGCATGCTTTACGCTGGTGCTATCTCACAAAACGAACTAAGTAACCTCACAAGAGGTTTCCAGTTATTGGAAGAAAAGCACACCATTAAAAGGTGTTATGGCATAAGAAATGGACATCCTGATCCGCAGATGTCAGATTTGTGTGTGTGTGGCATGCTTTTTAATTAATTGCTCATGTGTAATACAACTTGGAACAATCTTGATGATCATCATAACTTTAATTTCTTTCTGAGTTAAAACTATCTATAAATGACTAGACAACAAGCCTAAGGCTGACATGAAGTCATCAAAAACTGTTTTCTTATGTTTTGTACTTAAAACATCGACTCATTATGCAATCTTTAAGATTTCTAGTGCAGATTCTCTCTGGGTGTCAGGAATACCCCGAACACCTTGCAAATATTGCTCATTTCCAAATGGAAGATTGTTGCTATTGGCTTTGTTTGCCTTTTAGTGGGGAGAGGAAATTGAGATGATGATACCTTAGTTCCAAATCACACAAGAAATAATAGCAGCTCTAGACTGGTATCATGTAGCTTTGCTTTGCCTAGTGGAGTACATTAATGAAGTTAACAAAGACTGTAGTTAATTGGACATTTGGGGAGTGCTGTCTTTGCATGAGGGGAAGGTAAGATACTTTGTTTTAACTTCAATACTAATGCAGAAACTGATTTTGTTATTTATAACTGGACAAAAATAATCCTGCAAACTCGTCTTTCTAGTTTAGTCTTCAAATAACATGCAACTAAGTTTCCTCTTATTACGTACTGGTTTGTAATTACTGAAAAATATGTGACATCTAGTACATCCTGCCCACTGAGAAAAAAGTGGGCCATATCTCCATTTTTTGTGTGTATGTTAGAGTTGGAAAGCATTTGGAGGGAAAGAATAAGAATTTACACTTTGGCTAACTGGAGAACAGATGTGGCTTCTAGTGTGAGCTAAGGTTTGGGGGTTTTGCAGTGTTTTATGCATTGCATTCCATGCTTGTGGGAGTTTTGTCTCATCCTTTTAAAAAGCCAGACATCCAGCTGCTCTGAGGGGATGATGCCTGTCTGTAGCTATGACTAGAAGAGGCCACAAAAATATTTATGCTAAAACTGGATGGGAATTTTCTTTTGCTCTTGAAGTTGAATGTGTCATGGCAAGGAATTCTCTTACAATTGTCTCTTTGTAGTATCCTAATCCAAATGGGAGCAGTGGAGAGAATAGATTTGTTTCTCTCTGTATTTAATTGGACAAACATAAATCACATACGTAACAAATGTATGTGATTTGTTTTGATTACGGAGTTGGCCAAAATAACTTCCAGAGGTTCCTCCCAACTGAATTTGTACTACAGATCTATTTTTGAATGGTTAATGAAGTGTTAAATGAACCAGAAATAATACTCTTGAGTATTGTGTTTTGGTGGGGTTTTTTGGCTTTTTTTTGCTTTTGCAGCACTGGTATAGTATTAACTCTAACAAAACACAAACAAACAAACAAAAAGTCCATCACAAAACGAAGCCCAGCTAGGGGGTAGAGAGAATTAAACTGGTTTTAAAAAGAAAAAGAGGAATTTTTATAGATCCTGTACATTAACTTGTAGTCATATAAAAATGCAGCACTGAGTACAGTTTATGTAATTTGATCTGACTTCTCAGTCTAAGCAATACTTAGTATATATGTTGTTTTATATGGGATGTATCTACACTTGAATTCTAGAAAAGTAATTTTCTAGTTAATTCTGGGCACAGATTTTGTGCAAAGCAGTCTAAGAGGCCTGTGTACTTCAAAGAAGGAATGTGAGGGACAGTAGACATCATCACCTGTTCTCTATTTCCAGTGTTCTTAAAGCCAGCAAAGCAGGGGATAAAAGCACTTGGTCCATTGTGTCTGCTAAGGAAACTCCCTGGGAATGATTATAGTCTGTCTTTGGAAAACTATGCTCACATACCTGAGCTCCAGAAATGTAAAACCAAAGTTCTAAGAGGCCAGCTTACCTTTGTCAAGTTGAGCGGGAAGAATGATGGAGCCCTGGTGAAGCTTTGCCTGACTTGCAGCGATAGAAGTGGCTGCTTCAGTCGAGTTTAAGAACAAACAGTTGGGTCAAACATTCAGCTTTAGGTTCAGTGACCTCTGGTTTCATGTCCTGTTGCTTTTCACCAGTGGAGGTAGATAAATCCCAGAGAGACTGGGGTTTGTTGTTTGGGGTTTTTGTCTACTACTCATTAACACATTTGCTTTAAATAACTTACCTTCATGGATTTTTATGCAGAAAAACCTTGGCAGTTTTGCCTACAGCTTCTGATTGAAGGAAGATTTGCAAATGTAGCTTTTGAGGGTTGTGAACCACAAAACATATTTGTTGAACACAGGAGATTTACTGAATTGACTAAGACTGACTGTAAATTCCCTGAAATTTTGAGTCAGCTGAGTCACATTTATTGTGGTAAATCTGTATATTCTGACCCTTTTCTAAGGGAAAGAAATGTAGAGAAACATCCCTTGGGTTATTTTCTTTCCAACAGAAAAGAGAGAAAGCTGGATGGTTGCCTCCTAGATTGTACAACATGTCAAAAAACTTATCTGTCATTAGGACTTCACTGTTTTTCTTTTTTTCATACTCATTAGTCAGTCTTTTGCCAATACTTAATCTAGCAGTTAATGGTGATGAATGACTCTTGCCCAATATGTTCCAAGACTGTTCCTGCTTCTTAACTCTTGCTGTTAAATTAGGTCCCACTTCTTCCAGAAACATGAATTTTCTGGTGAAATTACTATTATTGTCTTGGAAAAATCAGCTCTTTAGCTGTGGATTCTTCCAGAGGACACTAAATTGTTGAATAAAGAAGTTACTCCTTGTTGCAGCCTTGTTCCTTCTCTTAGCTATC